TATAATAATTTTTAAGAAACATTCAACAAAATCAAGTTTCTTGTTTTTTGTCATGTTTAATTTTTTTTTTCAAAACATAAATATAAGCATTAATTTATCGTTTTTGACTTATAAAAGTATAATAAATATTTGAAAAAATAAATAAAACGTAAAATTATGATTATTTGATTTTTAAAAAATTACATTTTCATATACAATTTTTACTTTTTAATTTCAAGTTATAAAGACAAGAAATAAGAAAATGTTGTTAAACATGTTTTTGTTTCTCTTTTCAGCTTAAAAAAATAGAAAAAAAAAAAAGAAACGAATGCAGTTCATTTTTCAGTTGAGAAATAAGAAAAAAAAAATAATTACTTTACCAAATGTAATTTAAAAAATTTAATGGTTGAAATTGAATATAGAGATATTAGTTTCATGGTTTGGTAGTGTTTGTTGGAAGAGAGAGTTGAGAACTGGCCTATAGAATTTTCAATTATTCAATTTTGTCTTAATTAATTAATTAGTTCTTAATTTTAGTTAGTGAAATAGATGTATCAATTTTTTATCCTAAATTTTCATTTTTATGGCACCTTACAACTTTGGTAAATATTTCAATCTTTACCTGAAACTTGAAAAGTATTGCCATCCTTACTTGAATAGATGTTCTAATTTTGACCTCGTGAAAATGATTTTTCGTGTCAAGGATAGTTAACAAAAGTATTTTCATGCATGTTGAATAGATTATGAAACATATAATGAGTACGGAAATTGGAAGGACGTAACAGAGTTAGTTTTTTTAATTAAATTTTTTAGTTTTGATACTTTATACCTACAATAATTTTGATTTTGTACATGGATCAAATTTTATTTTGTAGAAAAATTAATTTCCACTAAAATGAATGGGTATTCGAAGATTTTTATGTTTTTATTTATTAAAATTATTTGGTAAGATAGTGAAAATTGAATAGGAGATAAAAAAATTGAGACACCTGCCCAAATCTAAAATTCAATTTTGATAAAATAAAAAATTTATAGTAAAAATTAATTTACTCGCAAACTTCATAAGTAAAAATTAGTTTTTAATTTTCATAGATTGATTTATGAATATAATTCGACACCAACATTAATTATTCAAGTAAGCTTAAAACTTAAAAGTTATAGGATGACAACTTTTTAATGTGAAAAATTCATAGAATAATAATTTAGTAAATTCATAATTTGAGATAAAAATAAATGATCATATGAACCATGTGTGTAGTTTTGATTGGATGTTTCAATTTTTTTTGGCATAAAAAGCTGTTCATTTGAACCAATATTCTTTATTTCTTGGGAATAGGGAAAAATATCAAAAGGAAATGTATAAAATAAGTATGTGAATATCTTTTGGATTTTATAGTTTAATATCTAATCATATAACTTTTTGTGTAATTAAAAACATTATTACTAATAAATAGGTGACCCACGCCATTCTAAGCTTTTAAGACCTGTTTACTTGCTCGCAATCGTAATTAAAGAATCGTAATCAATAAAACATGGGACCCACCCTAAATTTTGAAATTAGTCCCAAAAAATGCGCAATTCCATTACACGCAAAATAGCTGTGTAATCCATTTCAATTCTTTAATATGTGGACCCACAATACATTTTTTGGTAATTTGACAACCAATGTCATTTTCTTTTTCATGTAGACTCACGATTTTCAATTGCTCCATTACCGCTTTTCCTCTTCTCATTTGACTATTTGTATTATAAAATTATTTAATTTTAGATTGAACTGGTAAAATAAAATTTATTATAATAAATAATGTAATAATAATATTAAAAAAAATTTAGACTTAAATACAAAATATATAATTTATTACTATTAAGTAAAATAATATAAGTAGATCTAAAAATTATTATAAATAATTATTTTTTTCAATATAAAAAATTTCATAAAATCCTTTTTAATTAATGTAATTTTATATTAGTTATAAATATATAAAGGTATTTTGGTAATATGTCTGATTACGATTCCAGATGGAAGTAAACACCATGAATTGGTTTCTGATTCCGATTTCATATATGTTCAGGTAAATAACATCAATGGAATAACATTCTCATTCCGATTGATTTTCATTACGATTTATTTTCATTACAATTGAGGGTAAGTAAATAGGGCCTCGATAGCTACTTCATGGACGGAATCCAATGGTTCTCAAATATACTCAATTTAAGTTAGAGATTTTTCCAATCACTTAAAAATTTTGAATGAGGTAGAATTTTTTTTTTTCATAAGAAATAAATGCTAACTCAATCAAAATTTTTAGGGTTACTTCATAAATAAAAGCAATGCACTTCTTTAAAATATTAGTCTAAAATTACAACATTAATTAGTCACATCTATATTTTGGTACATGGATTTGTTTTTTAATTAGTCACATATATATTTTGGTATATGGATTTGTTTTTTTTTTTGCCAAACTATAGAATTATTAATTCCCTATGAATTCCACAAACTCAATCTTATAAAACTCAAATTTTATATACTATATATTAATTTTACAAATCATAAATGTTCAAAAAATAAAATACATTAGTCATTAAACATAAAAGTGTAATTGTATACTTTTTTTTACATAATTAAAATATATATGGCACAAATCCAAACCGTTCTAACTTTAAAATGATTAAAATAGTGAGTTAATAAGTGAACACGCAATCTATGAAAATTTTTTAGTTTTCAAAAAACTCCGGTGAGAAAAGAAGATTGAATATTTTTATTTATTTATTTTTTAAAACATATATCTTTATTTAAGTAAAATAACATAAGACAAAATTTAATTTCAAGCGATAAATCATATGATAGTGTTGATAAAGTAATTTATTTATTGTGAAGTTGATGATGATCATTAGATTGTGTGAAGTTGGACGGCTATTAAGTGTTGTGGAAAAAAGTAAAAGTAGGAACGGATGTAGGTTATAAAAACTCAAAAAGAGTATGGGGAATGGGAACATGCCACGTGATCCAAATGGGGTGTGGCAGAAGAACAAATGGTGCTCTGACGTCACACTAAAGCCAAATTAAATAATATATTTCTGAAGTTTCCATTTTTTTCTTCTTTTCTAGATGACGTAGCAAAATAATTTCTTGATCTCTTAGGCACGAGTATCTATTTAGTTTCTAAAATTTCAAAAACGAGATTTTTAGTCTACGAATCAGTTAATTAATGTAGCAGTTATGTTATTGACTTTATTTGATTAATTTGGTGATAATACTTCTATGTTGTTGAACTTTTACCTCTTTCCTTGAACCTCATTGTTGCCCACCATCCCTCTTATCATCAATCTCTGTTGCATCATCATCGAAGAACTCGGTGATGCTCGTTCCAGTCACATTTGAAACAAGGAAGGGTTTCTTGTCTATATCTATAACAAGGAGCTTTTCTCGTCTCATATCTAAAGAGAGACACCTAAGGTTTCAATGATTTGTCGGTTTTTGGAGATGGATGACTTTAGACGAAGAATAAGGAATGTTGGTGAGGGTTTAGCGATGAAAATAGGAGGGTGATGGCGACGACGACTAGCAATGATGAGGTTTGTTAGAGGAGGGGGAGAATGAGAGATAGGAGGTCCAATAATTAGCGAAAAATATTATTAAATTAATATATTTTTTCAAATCAACAAATATAATAACAACTTAACCATCCCTGTCATCTTAACTTTAGCTAACTCAAAAGAGACCGGGATCATTTAGAACATTTTACTAAATCTCATGAATTAAAAGAGCTTGTTTTTAAACCTTAAAATCAAATAGACACACTTATTCCAAGCCCATAGGACCAAAAATATGTCATAAATTATATTATTTATACAGACAAATATTGAAGAATTAAAGTTCCAACGAAAGTCAAATATTAAAGAATTTTATATAAAATTTCGTCCCTATGCATATATATTTTTTCTTAATTTCAAATTTGTTTCTATGCTTCTTTAAAAATTTTCTCGTTATTTCTCAAAAAGAAAAAAATTCCCATTCATGACATGATAAGTTATTCAGACGTGAGAAATTTACTTCATTAATTGATATTTGTTCCAGTAACAAGAGGTTTAACGAGTCACATTTATTTTATAGAAAATGAACATTAGTTTGATTAAAAAAAATAATAAAGGAGCTATAATTAATTTTATTTTTTAATGCAACAAATAATCAATTGAATTTTTATGGCTTCTTTAAAAGATAAAATTACAAACATTCAGTTAACATTGAATTGATGTTATGTAATAAAATTTTTAAAAATATAAAGGCGTATTGTCGTATGTTATGCCTTTGATGGTAGATTATAAGAATATATACTCATGTATATTATCATAATTATGTGTGTTAATATACTAGATAATATATATGATATAAATATTGATATACTAATGATATACCTGATATATTGCTTTTCTTTACTTCTCTTTTCTGTGTTCAGTTTCTCTAATTTGATCGTGTTGTATTTATTTATAGATTTTTAAACAAATATATGTCTTTTGTAACTTAAATATTTGTCTTCTATACTTTATACAAATATACTTAATTATGAATGCTGATATACCAATGATTACATGATATGAATGTTGATATACCATTATTATATCTAAAAAGATAAAATGAAACATTTGCCTATTTACAAAATTTAAAAATCATTGCTATAGATATTAAAAGTTTTATACTAATGTTTTTTTAGTACAATCTATGAAGGTGGGGATCGAGTTCATAACGTGTTAGTTCGAGATATATATCAATTATCGTTGAACTAAGCTCGTTTTGACATGTACCAATACTAAAGTAAGAATATTGGGAATCTAGCGTCTTAAAATCATATAAAATTTGGAACTTTGTAAATTGGAACTTTGTAAACATTTATTGTTGTTGAGTCGAGACCAAGTTGAAGTTGAAATTTAACGAATTTGGAAATATTGATATTTTTTATATTATTTAAATTGTTTTTTTTCTTTGAGTCTATTAATTAGTAGAGATTCCCGTTCTCCTTCCTTGAAGCTCTGTGAGCACCAAAATCAAAATCATGGAATCCCAAATTCCCAATGCACACTCCGAAACCGAGCTTCAAACCTCCATTAATGGCGTATCTCTCGATTCCACCGATCTCGACCTCTCTTTTGAAGATGTCGATAGCGCTTGCTCCACTCCTTACGTCAGTGCTCCTTCCAGCCCCGGCCGCGGCCCCGTTTCCGGCTTCTTCTACAGTGCTCCGGCCAGCCCTATGCACTTCGCCATCACTTCCTCCTCCTCTGCTCTGCCTCTCTCTTCTGCGTCCATGGAGAATCATTCCTCTTCGTTCGAGTTCGATTTCTCCGCTAGGTTTGGCTCCTACGGCGGCTCGAGCTCCACGGCGTCCATGACCTCCGCCGATGAGTTGTTTCTCGACGGGAAGATCCGTCCGATGAAGCTCTCGACTCACTTGGAGTTGCCGCTGGCGCCATTGCTGGACGTGGAGGTTGGGGATGAAGAAGGGGCGGGAATCGTTGAGTTTGTTCGAGGGAGGGATCTGCGGCTGCGGGATAAATTGCAGCGGCGAAGAACTAGATCTATGTCTCCACTGAGAAACGCGCCGATTGAGTGGACGGAGAGCGAGAGTGGGGACGGAATCAATGTCGAATGCTCTGTAACTGAGAAGGAAATTTTGGAAGGAAGTGAAGTGATCGAGAAGGTTGAAGAAATTGCATCCAATTCTGAGGCCAGTACTCCTTCGATTTCTGCTTCTTCCTCGAGATCGTCTTCGGCAGGAAGGAACTCGAAGAGATGGGTTTTTCTGAAGGATTTTCTGTACAGAAGTAAAAGCGAAGGGAGAAGCAACAACAATTTTTGGTCCAACATATCCTTTGCTAATGTGAAAGAGAAGAAATCAGCGGCAAACCAGAGCTTTGGCAAGCAAAAGTTCATCAATCCATTGGCGGGTCGTTCCTCAGAAGCGAAGAAAGCAAAAGGAACAGTGGGAGCAAAGAAAGATGGGGCAGGGAAGCCTGCAAATGGAGTTGGAAAGAGGAGAGTGCCGCCATCGGCGCATGAGCTCCATTACACAGCTAACAGAGCTCACTCGGAGGAGATGAAGAAGAAGACATACTTGCCTTACAGACAAGGCTTGCTAGGCTGCTTGGGGTTCAGCTCAAAGGGATATGGAGCTGTGAATGGCTTTGCCAAAGCTTTGAGTTCTGTTTCTTCCAGGTAAAGTCTCTTCTCAGCTTAGAATGAAAAAAAATTCCATAGATTATTGATGACTGGTTTCTTTAACCCTCTTGTTAAGGTTCTCCTATAAAATAATGTCTTCTTCTCCGTTTTAGTGTGAAAGAAAAGGCTGCTCTGAGTGATGGGGTTCTTCCTGGTGAACCCATTTTTGCCCCAATATGGTGGCTCTGTAAATTTATCCCTATGAAATATGAATTAGTTCTTACTGCATCTGTCTAATTCTCTCTCTCTCTCTCTCTCTCTCTCTCGAAAGAAAAGGGTTGATGTTGAGTTCCATTTAGATTTTAAGCTGATCTCAACAAATCTTACTTAGTGGTTTTGTGTTCATGTAAGAGAATGACTTTTGTGTTAAACAATGCCCCATGGCCATGCTTGTCAATTGTCATCAGGAAGATAACACAGTTTTGCATTGGGACAACTTTTCTTTTGTTGCCTCTAATCTTAGGTCCATGTTTTTTATGGTTATGTACACTTTATTTAGAGCATGTCAATTGCAGGGATGATTGGAAAACAAGAGGTGATTGCGAGTGGCCATTTGGTTGGGAGCCTTTCTAAAATTCAACTTTCTACTTTTGTCTTCATAACGTGTTTTAAGATAGCTTTTGGGTAGCTTACAAAGGTCAAGATTGGTTAAGACAATTTTTATTGTTATTTTATGAAAGCAAATTAAAGATATCATTTTTGGTCCCTACCCTATATTTCAAATAAGGTCTTAGCCTCTCAAATTTTCTGTTTGGTTTCAAAATTTTGTATAAAAATTTATTTTTGTCTTAACTTTTCATTAATAATTTCTCTGAGACTTAAATTTATTTAGAAACTCCACTTTACATGCTACTTTCAAACACTTGTCCATACAGTAACTTCTTTAATCAACACAAGAATCTATTAATCAATGTGCCTATGTGTAGGTTTTTGTTAAATAATTTATTAAAAGATTAACGATAATGGCTAAAAGGTTTTTGTATGCAAAGGAGATAGTAAAATATAATGTTTAAAAGTTTAAAAATCAAAGTAAAATATAAACCTGTGAAGGAAAGAAGTGCTTATCAAGTCATGTTTTCACTAGATTTTTGTTCTAGATGTTATTTTCATAGATTACACACCAAAACAGCTTCATTTATTTGCAAGTATGGTTTTTTTCCTTTCTTTTGGGGGTTGGGGGTAATCTGAATGGATATTTGTCTTTCTGGACATTGATGTATAAAGCAGTTTCAGATAATGACGCTGAGCCAAACCCACACAGTTTGTCTACTTCTTTTGGCTATTATTGAATTGGCAACTTCTCTTTAGGTTCCATCTTTTTCCTGTCAGTCTTCTTCATGTGATGCTTAAATCATTGTTTGCTATTACCTCTCCATATTTGGAAATTCATGTGAATTGGTCTAACATGTGAATTCAAGTATTATTGAAGTCCATCATTTGAATCTTGGTGGCCTCTTATTTTAGGTAACAAACACTTTACTCTTCTCTAATAGAATCTGAAAGATTGTCTCATAAAATTAGTCAAAATGCATATAAACAAGAACAATCACATTTCTCTTACATTATAAATCATGAGTACCCTGTTTTCTTTTCACTCGGTCAAATAGTTGATTTGAGAGCTTATAAAGCATATTGCTCACAGGTTAGGTTTGTATAGTCTGAAATTATGAATCCAGTCTACATTTTGTAGTGAGTTTACAGATTAGAGGTGGACTACTTAAACTTAGGCTTGCACACTCATCTTCTAGGTGGCAATTTTTCAAATTACAAATAGATAAGGTTATATAAGTTGCAGTTTCTGTAATTTATTCTTTAGCTGTAGGTAGCTTATTTGCATGATTTGTTTTGATGAGAGTGGGAAAAAAGGTTGCAAAATTTGGAGTTAAAAACAGTAGGAAAATCACATCAGTGGTCCTAGCTCCATTATTGCCATGAGGATTGGTGTTGGCTTGTAATCAATCAGACATATTACTGATGCAAAAGAAAAGAAGAGAAAAGAAAAGAGCAATGAGTTGGGTCACTGATGTTGATTGGTCAAAATCTAAGGCTTACTGACATTGAAATGAAGAGGCCCCACTGTTTTTATTGTCAATAGGTACTCTCTGAATATGCCACCTACCTTAGTCCCCAAAAGTCCTTTCTGCATCATTTCTCTTTTCTCACCCAACTTCTCTCTTTCTCACACTCTCTCTTTTCATCAAATTACCATATTAGTTCTTATGGTCTGTAATTGTGATTCATTTTGATTCAGTTCTTGAGGCCTTAGAGAGTTTCAATTCGGTTCCTATGAATCTTTCTCATGAATAGGCAGGGAGAGCTTTGCAATGTCACATTTTTCATTTTGTTAGTACTCTTTTCCATTAAATTACCATTTTAATTCATATGGGTTGTGATTTTTTTTCTCTCTCTCTTTTTTGTGAGTACAACACATGAGTGTCGGGTGGCGGTTCAAACCTCCGTAGTTGATGTCAATTTTTTTTTTAATTGTCGAGGGACTAAAATAAATATTATGAACGTTCGAGTTCGATCCGAAATGAGGTAAATTTTAAAATTTTAGAGACTAAAGTAAACTATTTGAAAGCTTGAGAACTAAAATAGAAACAATCTTAAACTTTCAGGTTGAAATAAGATTTAAACCAAAATATTTGAAAGTTTAGGCAGAAAAATTTGGGAGGGATCTTTTAACTTAATTTTTAGGTTAAAAATTAGTTTTGGTCTCTATACTGCCATTCAAGTAACCATATGTTCTTAAATTTTAGTTTTTAATGATTTAATTATTGTATTTTAAATCATTAACAATTTAGTCCATAAATTTTAGTATATAAAATCAAGTCTCTATAGTTTAAATTTGTAATAATTTAGTTCATACCATGAAAAATGTTGTCAAAATCAAATGTAAGATTTTTATTATGTAATAATTTAAACTTATAGTTTATAAATACATTTGGTCTTTGATCATTTTGTATCCATCTATAAATCATAACAGTATTCTGTCACCATTAACTAAATCATCACAAGTTTTTAAGTACATTTAATAGGTTAAAAAGTGATCTGACTGAAAGAGGAAAAAAGAAACAAAAATTGAAAAAGTGGAGTAGTTGTCTAGGAAGCCAAACAGCCCCCAACATCAACTCTCCATTTATTACCACCACAGCTACCCCTATTCTCCATTAATACTCCATAAAAGCAAAGCTCAACTCTTTGTCTCCCTCAACTTTCTAGTTAATGATGTGTTTGAAATTTGATTTCAAAAACCAAAATGTTGTTCAATTATAAGTTTTACAATTAAGTCTAATAAATCTCTAAATTTAAAAGTGTAGATCTATTAATTTCGTGTCTAATAGGTTATTAATTTCGAACAATGGTCCCTTTGCGAGTTGTGTGAGTTGTTATGTACTTCTTTGTCATTATTATATAATTAGAATTTGGTTTATGTTTTTTTTTTCATCCTAATTATATAATTAGGATCAGTTTGTTTTGTGAGTTCAACAACTCCAGAATTGAGAGATCGAACCATCTATATCTTTAGGATCGATGGCATATAAGATGTCTTATATATCTATTTAGATATGCTTTCGATTCACAAGTATTAGGTTTTGTTTTTGTTTTTTGTTGATGCAAGTGTTGGGTTATTACCATTGAGATACGCTTTATATGTCCTATCTCCAATAATTTCTTATATCAAATGGAATATGAAAAATTTTCATTTCATAAGAACAAAACAAGATATATGTTTGGTATGGTATTATAAGATGAAAAAACAACATCCAACAAGCAAAATAATACAATAGGTGAGCCATTTTTGGAAGCTGTGGGCTTTGCTGATTTCACCTTGCATGAACAATCCTGGATTGAAGTTCCCTAAAGCAATAGACAACAATGGCACATGAGATCAATAGACGACGTAAGAAGATGAAAAAATCCTAGACGAGCAAAACTTGATCATTGAGTTATGCTCTTACAAGATTTTGTACTAATAGAGATGTTCGTACTTTTTCATAGACCTATATTGATTGGTTTCTTCACATAGTTATCCATTCGACTGCTGTTGATCGCATCTAAAGTCGAGTCTTTCAACTACTTTGTCCCATGTAACTAAATTTTAGTGTGGCTAAAACTAAGTTTCATTATTTCTAAAAGTACATTCTCCCTATGTTTTTTAGTCTTGAAATTAAAATGCATATCAAATAAAGAAAAACCAACACCAAGCTCAAGTTCTGTGATTAGCAGTCGCATGTGTGTGTTCTTTCTTAAGGATGAAGGTAAGAATTCTAACACAGGATCTCCCGCTCTGATACCATATTAAGGATGAATAAACCACCACTCAACTCAAAAGTTTAAACCGATGAATTGGATAAATTTAATTCATATATTGGATATCTAACATTCTTACCTCTTTGGCTTGAGTAGCTGCAGCCGGCGCGGAGGGCATTACGGACGTTTTGCGCCATGGCTTTGTTGTAAAACAAGAAGTTTCCAAATGCGTCGTCGAGGCAGTCGAGCACAAGTCGTGTTTCCACCAAGCACGGTCCGCTGCAGAACAGATTGGTAGCTTCAGGAGGGACATTGAAACTCCCACTTGGGTTCAATCTATAACCACTGTCACACCCATTATATATCTGTGCCAAAAGCTTTTACAGCATCAAAAACAGTATGAAACAAACAGAACTCATCAAGAAGATTAAAGATCAAAGCAAGACAGGAGAGATCAAAACACACAAATTTATTGTCAAAACATCTCAATGCTTCTGTCACAACTTGGCCCGGAATCTCCTCTGCACAAACTGTCACAAACAACAAAGATCATACCATGAGAATCGTATGAGAAACTGCAACGACATAGCGAAGAAGGAAGAAAGTGCAAGATTAAAAAACATATACCTAAAAAGTTAAAAAACACTATTTTCACCCTACTTACTTTTCAAAAACTGAAAAAAAAAATTAAAAATTTGTTAACATTCCAAATGTGTTAATAATTTTAAAAAAGACGAGAAAAAGTAAACATATTTTTGAGAAACAATTAAAAATGAAATGGTTATGCGTCTAAAAAATTTTGCCGGTCCTTGTGAAAACTTGTAGCTGTACCCCTAAGGAAATCGATATCAAATTTGAAAAACGAAAGGGGAACCATGTCAGGTTCGACCTGAGGGGGTGGGGAGCGAGACAGCGAGAGCGAGGAGAATGGGGAGGAAGGTTGGGAAGGCCATTGCAGGGTAATTTAAGAAGGTGAAGAGTGAAAGGAGTATATATTTATGGGTGTGGAGGTTAGGCCATGGCAGTTGTTGGAGGTTAGGCCAACGGACGAGTGTGGGAAATTAGAATTTAGAAATAGTGAAGAAGATGAGATGGGGGATGAGGAAACTTTTGGTAGTTTTGTCGTGGATAAAACCAAAGATAAGCTGAGTTTAGGCCAACCAACTTAAATTTTCATATAAACAAACACAACTTTTGTTTATGTTTTTGGGTTTAATGACAGGATTTTATTTAGAACGGTAATATCATCTTTAAAGTTGTAATAGATATCTTATCTCGAGTTAAAACTCGAATTGAGTCCAGAGTTGATCTTTACATAAAATACTCTAAATATTTCCTAGTGTCTGAAATAATTTTCAATTTGATTTTTAATATGGTAATATTTTCAATTAGGTCCTTTGGTAAGTAAAAATATTTTAGAATTTGTCCTTACTAATAAGAACTTATATGCATGTATTCTAACCATCCATCAACCTATTTGACAGTTAGAAGAGAGAAATGTAGAAAAAATATAATTTTCTTTTAATAATGAATTGTAAAATTTTCAATGATAATCACGATCATATAAGTCCAAGAGCTAAATATTTTCCAAATCTTTGTATCACTCAATTATTGTTTTATTATCATATATTTGAATTTGGTTGATAGAGGAATCAAATTCTACTAAGAGTAAAACCTAGGTATGTATGCAACAAAGTAATGTTACCCAATGGTTTTGGGACACATATTTATTATTATTATTATTTTTAAAAGAAATCTCTCAGATTTGTTGCAGGCCTATCTACTTATATAAAGAAATGAATAAGCCAATGTTCGAGCACCAACGCTTTGACGTTGAAGTAATCTATGTCATACTCTTAGAAAAGTCCGGACGACCAATAACGAAAACATATTTGTACGCGAAACTGATACTGGTGGATAGGCAGAGAATACATAAGAGCGTGAGATAACTCTCCCTTTAAGGAATTAGACAAATATAACTTTGTAACTTCAAGAAGAAAGAGTCTCCTCACAAAGGAGGTCGCTGTCCCTATATTATTGAGACATGTATATGGTAGCAAGATTTTTCTGTTAGTAGTTCACCTAAGTTTTACTGTTTTACTAATGAATGAGATGACTTTCACGTATTAAAATAATTTATGAATGACATGCTAACATATTTAAATATGTTAGTTAAGAAAATAATATTTTATTACATATTAAATGTTTAACAATTTTTTAATTAAAAAAATAAAAACTTTAATATGTTAGAAGTAAAAGAAAAATTTCTAAAGATTAAACATGAAAAATTAAGAATTAAGGCACAATTATATTTGGGAAAATTAAGAAAACGAGCTTCGTTGGGGACGGAGTCGACGGACAACATAACGAAGGCAAAAAAGAAAAAGGAAAAATGGAGATGCGGGGTATCGATCCCCGTACCTCTCGCATGCTAAGCGAGCGCTCTACCATCTGAGCTACATCCCCATATTGTTGGCTTTGATTATAATAACATCATTTTTCTGAAACAAAAATCAATTTTATTTTTGAGGGGACCAGACTTCGCCAAAACCCTAAACCCATGAGTACTTCGTTAAGAAAATCTGTAGTTTTTCCATTCAATTCAAATTGAAAATGTCCATTTTCAAGCTCAGAAAACGAGTATGCAATCGAATCTTCAGCCTTTCTAATCATAGTCACAGAGATGTAGCGATTTCCAGACATCCGCTTATCCCACAACCTCAACGTTCACCAGCTACTGCTCAAAATCGTGTCCTTCTGAATCGTGGGATATCTGATTTTTTGCTTAATCGCTCCCAAAAATTACATGGGCTTCAACGGAGCGTTGCTACTGGTGAGTTGTTGTCTGGGCATCGTCCATCTGACGGAACGGCTTCGAATTTGGCCAAGAAGCATGATGCTTTGGCCTCTGGCTGTGCTAATTTTAAGAAGATTTCTGGGTTCCCCTTTTGCTCGCCGCGCTTGTTTTCTACACAGGTGGCGGTTGAACCCTCAACATCCGATGGGCTTACTGTCGACGGGATAATTGGAAATCGATGGACCATTCTGGACGAGAGCGAGAGCGATTGGAGGAGCCATGCTGCTGCAATTGCCCAATCCATTCATCTGATCAAGAGGCGTTTACAGGTTTACACGATTCCCTGATCAGATTTTTTTCAAATAATTTCTGTTTCTTCGGTCGCCCATGATAGTGGAAATGGGAGTTTAGATTGGAAAACTAAGATTTTATTATGATTAAATTATAAGTTTGATGCTTCAACTTTGTAGTCCTGAAACTTTTAGCTTGGGTCTACCATATATAGGCCTTATATTGGTACCTGCCCTTAACTTCATTTACACTTCACTCCTTATGCTGGAGGAGGTTCTATTTCACCCTCCTTACCGGGAGAAGGATAAAGTCCTTTGGATGGTTGGTTTTTTTTTTCTCGGTGTTATGATGTATTTGGGTCAAGAACAATAATAGAATCTTTAGGGAAGGGGAGAGGTCTTTAGAGCAAGTCTGGTGTTTGGTTAGATTTAATGGTTCATTGTGGGCATTGATTTCAAGGGATTTTTATAATTCTTCGCTTGGTTCTATTCTTTTGGATTGGAGTCTTCTTATTCAATTAGGCTAGTTTCTTATTAAATTAGGCTAGTTTAGGCTTCTTGTTGGGCTGATGGTAATTTAAAAACTAGATAACAAAACAAAGAAAAACATAGATAGATAGAAGTAGTGTTTATAAGTTTAATTTTTAAAAACTGTAAACAAAAAACAAAATGATTATCAAAGGGGCGTAAAGACCAGACTTTTTTGATAAAGAAAGACCAGACATGTAATCGAACCTTTTATTGATCTGCCGGCATTTTAGTTTGAAGTAAATGTAAATCATAGAAAATAGTTCAAGTTTTAGTTAGCATTTTTCGCATTGCTTGACCAAGTTTTATACTGGCTATGAATGTTTACGATGGCAGTGGAAGAAGCTGATGATGAGGTTGGAGCTGTTATCCGTGGAGCTCAATAAGGCAAATCTGTGGGATGATCCTGCACATGCAGGGAAGATAAGCCGCGAGCATGGTTCTATTATGGGTAAAATAAAAGAGGTCAATGCGTTTGAGCGAGAATTGCTTGAGCATATTGACATGATAAGGCTTGCCCGAGAAGAGAATGATACAGAGTTGGAATCGGTGGGCTCTAAATTCATCTTCTAGGCATGTCTTCTTTCTTTTTGTTTTCATCGTTGTTTTTGCATGTTTTGAATATTGTGCATCCCTTCGCTTAGAGGTAATTATTAGTTTATGTCTTTCAGTCTCTCCATAATCAAGAACAGAAAGAGTACATAAAAATTCCCTGAAAGTGATGTTATTATATTGAGAAAGAAAGAGTTACCCAAATGGTGCCGTGGTGGTAAGGATGGCTTTGGATGCTTGAAGATATCCTCTAAGGCCGGTCTGGGTTCTAAGTCCTAAAATGAAAATTTAGGTCCCGTTTGATAACCATTTTATTTTTTAAAATTAAGCTTACAACTACTACTTCCACCTACGTATTCGTTTGTCTTTGTTATTAACATTTTGAAAAACGTTTTCAAAATCTAAGCCAAATTTTGAAAACAATAAGAAATATCTTCCAAAAACTTATTTTTGTTTTTAAAATATGGTTAAGAATTCAAATGTTTGTGGAGAAAGGTCAAAAACATAATAAAAAAAATGGTGAGAAAACAAGCATGATTTTTAGAAACTGAAAATTAAAAACGAAATCGTTATCAAGCGATGTGGTACTAATTTAAATTTTTTTAGTCAACTGGAGTTCTCCTTGGGTGAGTGAAGCTTCCTCCAGAACTAGTGGAGATGAGCAATGTGCTCAATGCAAGGAGTGGAGCCCCAACGCCTTATATATCAAAAGTATAAGTGAGAAAAAAAGAGAGATCCATTTTAGTGAGAATTCTAGGTTTTAGATTACTGTTATGCTTGGGTCCTTGGGGGGAATAAAAACTTTATTAACTCTTTTCCTTCCAAAAATACTGTCATCTCTTTCAGTGACATAAATGTTAGTGATCATTATAATTTAGAATGGCACCATGGGTCTTTTCTTCTTTTAATGGTGTATCATGCATGACCTTTTGCAGGAGTCACTAAATGCTCTACTCAGGATGAGAAGAAATTCAAAAGAGAAAGAGCTTGAAGCTTTGTTAGCTGGAGAGAATGATTCTTGCTCTTGTTATATTGAGGCCAGCTTAATTCTAAATCTTCCTTTTTTTTGTGAATTTTCTCATATATGGTGTTACTTTGTTCATTGTGAGATTCAAGCTTCGAAAAATGTTCAGTGAATAATATAGAAAGTATAGCCAACTACTTTCTGAACATTTTTCCAACTACTTTCTGAACTTTTTTTTTTCGATTGGACAGGTTCAAGCTGGAGCTGGTGGTACTGAGAGCATGGACTGGGCAGCAATGGTTATGCAGATGTACAAAATGTGGGCTCAAAGACGGGGTTTCAAGGTTATGGTTATGGAAGAAATGCCTGGTGAGATTGCAGGAATCAAGGTTCACTCTCATTGCAACTTCGATTATCGATTTCATCATTGCAATATTTCATACAAATAAGTTTAACAGTTGAAGATTCTTATATCGTTTTGGCCTCTTAGTCATATAGCTTGAGTTCACATTGTGAACTACTCTATTCAAGCTCTTGCTTGAGTTATTAATCACTGGTTCTGACAAATTATTATGTTCTTCCAGCGTGCAACAATCAAATTGGACGGTGAATATGCTTTTGGATATGCCAAATCGGAAGTAGGCGTACACAGATTGGTTCGCATCTCTCCTTTCGATAGTAACAAGCGACGACATACTTCATTCGCTGCTGTAGCGGTCATTCCAATCACAGGTGATGCTTCGACTCATGTACAAATTAATGAATCCGATCTTCGAATCGAGCGTTTCCGGTCCGGAGGAGCTGGTGGTCAGAGTGTTAACACCACCGATAGTGCCGTGAGGATAGTCCATATACCAACAGGAATTACAGCAACTTGTCAAAATGAAAGGTAAGAAACATTAAAACTGGTTCACGTAATATGGATAGAACTACTGCTAGATCATTTCTTATTTGGAATTTGGGGTGTGGAAAATAACATAGATCACAACATCAAAACAAGGCATCAGCGATGGCGGTACTTCAGTCTCGATTAAATCAGCTCGAGATGGCGCGTCAAGCTCAGATGAATGCACATCACACGCAGAGTCTATCTGATATAACTTGGGGAAACCAAATTCGTAGTTATGTGCTCCATGTGAGTTGTTTTTAGCATGGTGCAATTTCAATTCACCTCTTGTGATTCAAGTCGTCGCTAATTACGGATACATGTTTTTTGCAGCCTTATCGAATGGTAAAAGATCTTCGTACAAATTATGAGGTTTCAGATCCTGACTCTGTTCTTGAGGGAGATCTCGATGGCTTCATTTTGAACTATTTGTCGACATCCTTGGACAAAGATGGAGATTAACTGTAAACTATGATTGATGGTAATCTTGCTGCTGAACTTTTTAAAACTAGATACTTAGTGCATGTTAAAATATTACATTATATAAATGGTTAAAATTTAAAATTTATATTCAATAGTTAGTTAAAGTTTAACTACAATGACTGAAGAAACAAATTTTTATTAAAGTAAAACATTTGAAAGTGAGAAACTAAAACAAAAAATTTGAAAGTTGAGAGATGGAAACAGAACATTTGAAAGACTTGTGAATCCATTAATTCATAACGAATAATTCTTGTGTTGTTTCTGAACAGATGATCCACTGAAGATTGTGTTTGCAACATTGAAATGCCCAGTTTCATCATCTGAACTTAAAGTAGTGAAAACACTGACCTTTTTCTGACAGGAAAATTGAAGAAGAAGCTGCCATGTTGTAGTAATAAGCAAGCATAGCCATTCAATAAACTCAGCTTTCTTATAATGCTTGATTGATTATTCATTCCTTGATTCAAGCAGCTCCCTTGTTTGGTATTGAATTCTTTGGTGGCTAACAATTTTGTTGAGCCTAGACGCGAAGTCGACTACAAAATATGATATGTTCAAGAAATAGAAGTTGATTCGAACATAAGGTGCATAGGGCGGGTGAAAGGCGTGTTTGATAACGACTGTGTTTCTGGAGCGTTAAAAACATTCGTTCTCATTTCAACACTATGTTATCAAATTTGTCTCCGTTGTTTTGTGATCAATTTGTTTGTAGAACCTTGTTGGTTCTCGTAATTAAAATTTGATTCTTATTCTAAAAATGTTGGTAGACAACGTCATGGACAATATTCTATTCTAATCTTTGATGCCAATCACTAATGTCCCAACATTGAAATCTTATGCTAAATTAGATTGGGAATGAAATGTACCCTTAAAAGAATAAAATCATCCCTCTCTATGATGGGGGAGTAAGATGCTATCAACACAACAAAATTAGATGTTTTTGACGAATAAAAGAACAGTAGGACTATGCTCACGTGTTAAAGGTGGGATTAATGTGATGAGTATTGTTAAACATAATATATTTATTGGTATAAGACATTTTAGATAAAGTTAAAAAAAAAAAAAAAGAATTATGCTACATTATACGAGTAACATCCCTTAAATCTATAGTGGATAGTGACATGTAATGACAGATTGTGGTAAGAATCAGTGTCATTCTAGTTCTCGAAAATAATATTCCAAAACCTTCATATGTTCGTTGTTCCTTGTGTGGATAAGACTTATGTTATATGGTACATATCTCAATAAGGGATCAATTTCTAGCTAGTTGCATAGCTTTATAATAATTATGTTGAACTTCTGAATAAATTCCTTCAATCCAGCGTTCTTTTAACCTAAATGAACGAATATATATATTTAATAAAAAAAAGATTTATGAACTACGTCGTTTTTCAATTTCATCTCCAATATCTTAATAGTTTTGATTTTAATCTCTTACGTTTCAAAATGCTTGAATCTAACTTCTAATCAATAACACAACAGTAACATTCTAATGTTGAATATTTATTGCATCCTTAATTTAAAAACTTAATATAGACTCTCCCATAATGAAAGGTTCACTTGCTACCATATATACCATATATATCTAGGATACTTCATATTTCATCCGATAAATAAAAGAAATATAAGAAATTATCATAGGTTTCGAAGATCACATTCATTTAAATTTTAAAATATTTTGAGGTCGTTAAAAGATGATTAGGTAAAATATACTTTTAGTTTCTGAATTTGAAGATAAATTTCTATTTGGTCGCTAAATTAAAAAAAAGGAACAATTTTAATCCCGAGTTTTAGAAAGTTGTTTTAAATAGTTGTTGAGAACAAATTGATGTTAGGTAATATATTAAGGATAAAACTTGGCTATTCACTAGTAAGGAGCAACCTTGTTCTTACCATCATTGAATATTTGACAACTAAGAGAAAGAAATGCAAAAACAAAAATTTATTTTAAAATATAACGAGTTGTCAAATATTCAATGGTGGTAAGGACAAGGTTGTTCCTGACTAATAAGAGTCAAGTCCTATCTATTAATTGTATATTCATTTTATCACTGACGGGGCATTTTCCATCTCTTTCCTTCTCCTCTCCCTCCTTCACTTCTCCCTTCCCTCCCCTTTCTCTCCAGCAGCTGCCACCAACTTACCAATAATGTCACCGTGGTCACTACTCCGGTAGCCACCACCGTAGCTACGGCCACATCGCTACCGCTACTCTTGTCGCGGTTGCCGCACCTTTTCTCGAGCAGTTCGCAGCCTACTACCCTCCCCCTTTCTTCTTCCTCTCCTTGCTTATCCTTTCAAATCTAAACCAAATCGTTTAGATCTATAAGGTTTGAAATCCAGAGGGAATGGAGGAGAGATGAAAGGAAAATTACAAATATAAATTCAATCAGAGACTGGTAAAGTTTCATTTTTTGAACTCGAAGACCAAATAAAAAACTTATCCCCAAACTCAGACTATCCTGGATAATTTTGGCTCCTAAAATCTATCTCATATCTAATTTAGTCATAAAAGTTTATAAGGTTCTGTATTTTTAGTCAACCAACAAGTTTTAATGAGTAATAGACTCTATTCATTGCGGTTAAAATTTTTTAAAAAACAGTAACATGATTCATTTTCTTATAATTGTCTGACATTATAATCTTTAAAAACTCAAATCTTTTTGGCAATATATTTTTTTACAAATATCTTAACTTCTTTCCTTAATCTTCTTAACTATCGAATAACGTGTTCTAACTCCTCTCTTCTCAATTTATATGCAAGTGACGTATAATTAGTACGTTCAATCTCCTCCAAGGCCAAAAAAATGGTTCTCCATCTTCTTTCCTTCTCATGCATTGAAATTTTAATTTCCTAATTATTAAGGAGATGTTTGACTCAAAGTTGAGAAATTTGAAACTTGTATGGGTCGGATTGGTATATAACAAGAAAGAGTTACGAAAAATTTAGATTCATGTAGCAATATAGTCTGTGTAACTAGTGAATTCAGAACTTGGGACACCGACAAACAAACTCACAAGCATGCGAAATATCTCTATCAACTTTACAATCTCATTCTATAAATTTGACTTGTAAACGCAGAACGACCTGTAAAAGTAAGCAGACATAAAAAAACAAAACCGTCCCTCTCTAATCTTTGGGGAAGTAAGGAGAATAAGTGGCTGGAAATGACTTTTGGCTTACTTCTAACACATGCTTATTTTTCATCATTCTCTTATAATGTGCACCAAGCACTCCCGGAGAAAACACGGAAAAATATCTCCTGAAAATTGATAACATACATATTCATTAGTACGAGACTTTTTAGATAACATTCAAAATGAAATTTGTGAAGAGGTAGATTTTAACCTTAAATAAACCATACTAAATATATATAACGATAAACATGTCATTTGGTTTACTTGGTATATATCACTTTTCACTTTTATTTCTAATATGTTTCAATCAAATTTTTATACAATAATAGAATTTAGAAATTGAATATGGAAATGACGAGAGAGAGATATGGTATTAAAAAACTACATTTTAAAAATGATATTCATTTAATTGATCATCTCACCCGAATAAAAAACTTATCGATCAGTAATGTATTATTAATAAGATGAAACACTTCATATCTGACTCAATCAAAAGAAAAGATTCACTAAATAAAGTATTATCATAATTAGATACTTTGAATAATAATTCATTATTGTGTTATCAACGTCAAAATATTGTTTAGTAGCAACAATAGAGACGAAATTGAGGCTTTTAAAACATTGAGAAAAAAAAAAATAGTAAAAAGTAAAATTTAGTTTTCAAGTGTAAAAAACAAATTCCATATATTCAATCATTACCCTTAAAAGCTTAAATAGAAAAGTTATAAATATATAACTTGTTTCCATCTATGATTTTTTTGTTTTTGTTCTGAGTAGATGGTTTCCATCTATGGCACTGATTACTCTGAATTAATTTTTTTGTAAGATTTTTCATTTAATAATCACTTAAACATGGTTCAATCCAACAAAATGACGTATAATTAATGTGTTCGTAAATGTTATCTTCTTGTCATATATTACAAATCATGGTTTTTTTTATAACTTTAAAACATGTTAATTAATGGAGGTCAATTAATTTTTCTTTTTGAAACAATGAAATTCAAACATTAAAAAATTTAAGATTTGTTCTTTGAGAAAATAAAATCATTATTTCACGAAACAACATTCCATATTTGAGATGGTTACCTATTTAAAGAAGCTCTGCCATCTGTGAAATCTGATTCATCTATCCACTTGGACTGTTTCTGTAGTTTGGCTTCAATCTCCTTGTAAAATCTTGGTGGTTTTTGCAGCTTCATAAGGGAGAACAAAATATAACCATTAATCTTATTTGAACAAACAAATCTATATAACCTAATTCAATTTTGAATTGATTGAATGAATTTATTAGGTGATTTAAGAACATGTTTGATAATTAAGCGAACTGTCCAGATATCATAATTACAAAAAGGCTAATTTTTAGAAGTCTAATTTTTAAAACATAAACTTTAAACCTAACATTATTGTTTGTTCTAAAAATCAAATCATCCATGGAAAAACCCTAAAGAAAACTGTTATCTTTAACATTTTTTCATGATTTTAGCGTTCATTCGAAGAAGTGGAGAACTATTTTGAAAATGGTTCCAAACATTAAAATCTAGGAATGAAATACAGAGACTTAAAGTTCTTTCAATAAGTCTCCCTAAAAAAAGTGATGTCTAGACATATATTTTGAAAAGGATTTGTTATTTGAAAAAACAATAACAAACAAAAACCAAATGGAACAAACACACCAGAAGAAGTCTCTTCCGTTCTAAAAATCAAATAATCCACATGAAATAAAACCCTAAACAAGTGATATGATCTAAGCATGCATACTTTCTAAGCAGAAAATTAATCTTTTGAAGGTTCCAAACATCAAACTCTCAATAATTTTAAAACAATAACCAATAAAAACCAAATCGTATGAATGATTCCACGTTTTTTCAAAGGTCTCCTTCCAGAGAAGAATAACCTCATCTGTTATAAAAATCATATCATTCCCATGAAAAAAAACCCTACTAAATCATCCCTTCTATATTAGAAATCAAATGATTGTCTTGCTCATCCAAATCATCCCTCCTTTGTAATTAAGATATCTCTACCATTTCACTTAATTGAAGTGTTTTCATGTAGCCTCGTTCTTTTGTATCTTCCTCACATACAAAATTCCTAACCCTAAAGAGATCATATTTGAACAAAAAAACCCACCAAAGAAAGTGGTAGGAACTTTTACTTAGTCTCCCCATATCATATGTTTCTCACATACTTTTTGAATGAATGGTGTGTCGCTTTCTTAAAAAAGAAAAGAAAAGAAGAACATGGGTATGAGAATAGAAACTTTTTTCACTAGATCAAAAACAAATGCAATGAAAAGTAGAAATGGAACTAGATGAAAATGAAAATTAACCTCAAGTTGGAGGATTCCTTGTCTGTGATCTTCAGTAGCAGCTTCAATGCCAATGATGTTAGACCAATCAATTTCAATCTTGTGCTTGGAAGGCCCCTCCCTCACAATCTCCCACGATATCTTCTTGGTCCTATAATCAAATCTCAACACCAAATCACCTTCATTTTGGGGCACCACCTGAAAATTAAGCCAAAAACAGAAGCTTATAATACTGTAAATGAAAATGAAAATGAAAATGAAAATGAAAATTATTTACATGCCTGCCAAGAGCCAATGCGAAGGAAGAGGGCTGGAGCAGCATTAGAGATGTGGGGGAGCTCAGAAGGAGAAGAGGAGCTGCTTGGTCCTGAGGTAATTGTTCTTTCATTTGATGAGCTATTTTGATCTTGTTCTCCATTGTTGGGAGGGAGAGGGATCAGTGAACGCCCAGTTAAGATTTTTGGGAGGTTGGAGAATGGCGCAGGAATTGAAATTTTTGTATCTTCTTCTAATTCCATTGCTGCAAGTAAAGAGGACAGCCGAAGCGCCGGAAGTTTTAGGACGACTTCAATTGTTTCTCTACCCTGTAACACGTTACACGCAAAATTATTCAACGTGACTGTTGCTTTCTAATCATTAGATTAGATGTATGGTTCTCTTTCATACCGGTAATTTGCAAACTACATTTTTCAAGTCTCTCTAATAATTTCTCGAATAAAAAAAAAAGAGATTATTCAATGTGCAGTTACTTTATACATCCTAGACATTAGATGCATGAAAACATATATTTTTTTGGAAAATTTCTCAATCATATACATTCAAGTTTATAAAACTGCCATTGTTCTAGCTTGAACCTCATAATAATTTCTTGTGTCCATCGCTTCTTGTAATGAGTACTTTCTCCCATGGGCCTTTCTCTATGTAAAGATTTGAGATTTCTTTTCTTCTCTCATGATCTCTCTCTTTATATAAAGATTTGATAGTTCTTCATTTCTAATGGTCTCTATCTTTAGGTTTAAGATTTGACTTTACTATGTCATGGTTCCTTCTCTCTAAGGTTTGATACTTCTTGGCCTCTCTCTCTTTAGGTAAAGAGAATTTGATACTTTCATTCTCTAGTGCCTCTCTCCATAGGGCTTTCATTATTTTTCATAAAAATGTGAAGAGATCCCAAAATTTGACTCAGTTCTTTCTCTCATGGAATCTATCTTTAGGGTTTTCCATTTCAATTAACATATATCCCAAAAAAATAAAGAAAGAAAAAGATTAAAACCAAAGGAAAACAAGCAGTTCCATCAAGACATGAAAATTGCAGACTTCGTAGATAAATTTGATATCTTTATTACGATAGTCATCAATGCAGGTTCAAAATCTATGTACCTTAATAATTGTATATCTCTCAATTTTTAATGTTTGAGATACAAATTATTCTCTCTTAGATTTCTCAATTTATAGAGAAATCAAATGAGATCTTAAGGAAAAGATCTAGATCCAAAGGTCCTAAGAAGTTCCAAACATGAAAATTGCTGTAACTTTAGTAGAAAAATTTTGACATTTCTCTCTTTCGTGACGATTGTCATAGTTGCAAGTTCAAAATCTATCTACCTTAAATAATTGTATATCTCCCTCAATCTTAATGTTCGAAATACAAATTTTTCTCTCTCTATGATTTTTCAATTTCCAAAAAAATGCCAAAGAAACAAGAGAATGATCAAGACCCAAGATGTTTATATGGAAGAGATATTGAAATGAAAAGTCAAAGAAAAAACAAGAAGTTCCATCAAAACTGAAAATTTCAATAACTTTAGTGCATAAATAAAAATTTCCCTCTCTTTAGGGTTTTTCAATCTCTAGAGAAATTAAATCGTAAGAGTTCTCAAAAAAATCAAAACCCAAAATCGTTCTATGGAAGATATTGAAATGAAAAAAAGTTGATAAGAAAAACAAAAAGTTCCATCCAAACATGAAAATTGCAGTAAATTTAGTAGATAAATTTTGACATTTCCTTCTCTCAGGACGATTGTCATTGATGCAAGTTCAAAATTTATCTACCTTAATACGTAATTGTTACTATTCCTTAATCTTAGTATTCAATTCGAAATACAAATTTTCCTCCCTTTAGGGTTTTTCAATTTCTAGAAAAATCAAAAGAGATCCCAAAGAAACAAGAAAATAATCAAAATCCCAAGATCTTAAATGCTTTCGAAGACATTGAAATGAAAAGTGAAAGAAAAACAAGAAGAAGTTCCATCCAAACACAAAAATTTCAGTAACTTTAGTTCACCACACATGCAGTTCAACAATATAGTTTCAAAATCTCTCTACCCTTAATTGTATCTTTAATGCTCGAAATACAAAATTTCCCTATCTCTAGGGTTTTTCCCCAAAGAAACAAAGACAGATAAAAAAAAACCCAAGATCAAGCAGCTGCATGAAAATATAAAAGAAAACTCCATTAACAACGTACAAAAGCAAAAAAAAAAGAGTTGCAGAAGAAAGTTGAAAAGGAAGAAGAGAATTACCTGTGGAAGGGTTCCTGTTTGGGAAAAATGATCAAGCTGCTCTGCTCCGGAAATTATGGAAAAACTCGAAGATTCGCCATTCTCTGAAGTGATATATAATTTCTTCTCATCACTCTCTGATTCCTCTTTCTTCTTGTCCATTAATTTCAACTGATCTTTTTTTTTTTCTCAGATATTTTCTCCACTCCTTAATCCCATTATTTGCTGCAATTCTTCCCCTTTTATACACCTTCTTCGTAGTAGTTGCTCCCTTGCTTTATCAATTTTTTTTATTTTTTTTTTAATTTTTGATATTTTGGAAAGGTTAAATCATATATACCATATGCCATCTTTGGTAGGGTTTCGATTTTGTCCCTAATGTTCCAAAAGTTTCAACTCGAACCCTCGATGTTTTCATGTGTTTTTAGAGAAATATTCGTGAAAAAAGATTGGACATAAAATTGAAATTCTTAAAATGTCATGGAAAAAGTTGAAACCAACTTGGACTTAGTTTTGGATTGATCTGGCTATTAAAATAGGAGAAAATTGCAAAAACCACTCTTCGTGTAAAAGGGTGTCGAGGTTATGATTTGATCAATCGACTCCTTAGAATTATTAAATTGTTGCAATTAGATCCTTTAAATATTTTGCAAGATGCACAAATTGTCCCTTGACTATAAGTATTATTACAATCAAACTCTTCAATTATAAGATTGTTACAATCAAACCTAAATGGTATGTCTCTGGGCAGAAATCTAAAGTTGGATTTCCTTTGGGATTCCATCATTGAAAGAGTTGAAAAGGAAGCTCGATAATTATCGTATATCTCAAAAGGCGGTAGACTCACTTTGGTTCAATCTGTCTTAAGCAATTTACTGACTTATTACTTGACGGTCTTTAAACCCCTATCAGAATATAACCAAAATCTTGGAACATAAAATGCATAATTTTTTTTTTGGGAAGATTTTTGGTGATAAAGGCAGCTCCCACCTTATTCGATGCGATATTACTACTATCCCAAAAGAACTTGGAGGTCCGTGAGCGGTAAAATTAGTACCGTAAATGTGGCCCCTCTTACTAAATGGCTTTGGAGATTCTCTTTCGAAAAATCTGGTCTTGGGTGTTAAGTATCCCATATTGATAAGATAAGCTAAGAGACCTAACAAATGTTTATAATAGACATGAGCTACTCAGCTTACTGTCAATTGGTTTTGAAATGAACCCAAGAAATATTAATATTTGGAAGACTTTAAATTCGGATCAGTGCGCTGGGTTCAGTGTCAAATCAAATCTTTTTGGCCCTTCTTACTAAATGGCTTCGTAGATTCTCTTTCGAGAAATCTGATCTTTAGTATTAAGAATCTCATATTGATAAGATGACCTAATGAATATTTATAATAGACACGAGCTCTACTCCCACCAACAACGATAACATTCTCTAGTAAAATGCGGTGCGTTCCATTTTGTGGTAAGTTTGGTTGGAACAAAACAATAAGATATCTTCCACTGGATACTTCAAAATCAAACTTATCTATTTGGAGCAACATCATTGCTCTTGCCTCTTCAGTGTCATCCAAATCAATCTTTTTGTAATTAAGTTATACCTTTTCTTTCTCTCAATTTGAGTGTCTTTATATAGCCTCATTTTTTTTTCATGTTTCTCACGTATTTATTAATGAAATGGTTCCGGTATCTTAAAAAAGATTATGGTTTAAGAAAATTCAGTTATAATTATATAAAGTAAAATAGTGTTTTCCAAACCTAAAAAATGTAGGTTATAGGGTTTGGTAAGTTAATACTAAATGGTTAGCTATTATAATTAATGACCTAAGTAGACATATATATATTATTTCAATTATTTTTATATTGAACTTAATATCTAAATTCGTTTTAAGATAATTATTTAAAAAGTTCATATGATTTAATTTTTACTCTAAATTATTTGATAAAAGAGTTAGGAAAAATAATTGTGATAAAAAATTGAATCTATCAAAATTTCGTAAATACAAGAAACAAATTATAAGAAAGATATAGGAGGCCAATAGATGCGAAAGGAAATATATCGGAAAGAATACACAACTGAATTTTTTTTTTTTTTAAATTTTTGTCAGAGGAGGCTATGTACATTAGAGTAAATTAGAAAGTGATTTTTATATAAATTAATAAATAATTAGTTTTACCAAATACTCTAACCATAATTACTTTTGAACCCTCAAACAGGCCTACAAATTTAGAGGTATTTTCTATAATTTAGTGAGTTTCAAAAGAGAGAGTTTCAATTATAATAATTAAAATCTATAGTAGGGATCGGAGTTTATTTTTATTTTTTTCTGATAGCAAATAAAAAAATTGAGGTAAAATTGAAAACATTAAAAAGGTGTAGGGCAAAGTTGGGACTAGCTATATAGATTAAAAAAAAACATTTGGTATATATAATTAATCATTTTAAAAAACTGACAATATTTTAAAATTATTTCTAAATATATATTTTTTAAATTACAAATTTGGTCCTTCCTTAGATTTCAATTTAGTCTCTATTATTTCAAAGAGGTTCGTTTCTAGTAAGGATCCCACGTTGATAAAAGAAGGGACCTTAATAAGTTTATAATATACATGACTACTCTTCTCCTTGTCGATTGAAACCTCATGAATATTAATATGGTATTAGAGCCAAGAAAGCTCAAACGAGTAACCGGTCCAAAAATGGGATCAACCAAGATCGATGAGCCAAAAAGCCACTGAGGGACATGTTAAGGATCTCACATTGATAAAAGATTTTTAAAATTAACTGGACCAAACTGAAACTAAGTCTAAATTTATAGATTCCAAATTTATAATTTAATTAAAACTATTTTTTTAGTGAAAATGAAATTAAAAATTTTAAAATTTTCACTAAAAAATGGTTGGAGACTTTTGACTGATTATTTTTCTTCTGAAAACTCTTTAAAATCTAAAAAAAAAATGTTTAATACTGAAAGCAAATTTCTGTAGATCCTTTCAAATACCCTAATGATTTTTAATTTTAAAGAAGTTGAAAGCAAGTTACAAAAAAAAAAAAAAAAAAACTGAAATTTAATTAGATTATCAATTGAATTTTTTAGCACATTTCTAAAAGAGAGAAGATTATCTTGCATATTGTTCAACAACCTATACATGGAGCATTTATGAATATCCATTTCAAGAAATTCACAGCAAGAACAACAAAATAGAATATTTAATTAGTAACATTGAACTTGACCATAAAAAGATTGTGTTAATATAGAACCTTTGAGCCCATCTACAAATTTAGTTGCCAAACCAATCTCAAGTTGGTTTCTAAACTAGTTAGATTTTTTTTTTTTTTAATGTACACAAGAAAATAAAATTTTAATTCAACAAAAATCTTGAACATAAACCATAAAATATTTTAAATGCAACGTTTCCAAGCTGGGGGTTTTTTTTCTTGTTTTTTTTTCTCTAATATTTAATTAAGTTTTAGAAGATAGATTAGTCAATATTATAATTTGTTCCTCAAAATTTTAACTTGGTCAAATCAAAACTTCTAAAAAGTTAAGACCAATGAATTGAGCTAATACTCACAAATTTTTTACCAAAATTTCAGAATGATTAATACTGGAAATTAAGAGATGAGAGAGTGTGCCCGTTTGATTTTTGGTTTAGACATTGACCAAAAAGTTGTATTTTTAGATAGACCATGAGGACACAAATTCCTACTCAAATTAGTAAACATAAATTTTATATATGACTTGTATATTAAAATAAAATTTAATTGCCAAAACGAACTAATTGCCATATATCTCTAATTAAGAAGTTACAATAATTGTGAGTTCGGTCTGACACATATCCGACAGTGATATGCTCGAACATGCCAAGTAAGGGTATCCTATTTTAGAAGAAGATGTAAAGTCTGAAAGAAAAAGAAGACGAAGAAAAGGAACGACAAGGAGGAAAAGGAGACGAAGAAAACGAAGGTGGAGGAGATAAGACTTGAAAGAAAAATGATGGGGCATGGAACATTTCCTCCATGAATGACACATGCCAAATTTTTTCTCCCAATAAATAGACTTTCTTTCACGACTTACACCACGAGTCAGCCACAACCACAGCCAAGGTATTAAATCGATGGAAATGTTGAGRTCCCAATTTTATGGAAATGTCGAAATCGCAGACAATTTAAAAAATTATAAAAAATATTTAAGTCAACAAATAAACATTTTTTTATTTCTAAATAAGTTAAAAATAATTAATATTAATATTATATATATATATATATTAGCGACACTTTGTTGATATGTATATTTTTTATGTTTTGTGGGATTTTTTTTTTCTTTGTAATAGGATGGAAATGTCGATTTACCCTTCAGTTGATCCGTAGATATATGAAAATGTCGACGTGTCAGTCAGATATCTAATACAATGGTCACAACAGCATAAACATTTTTTAAATTGTCCAAGTCTATTCAAGTAAAATTTTATTAAATATTGAAGAAGTTTGATTTTTCTTTATTAAATAATAAACAGTTTTGTTAATATATCTTTCTATTTTAAAAATAAAGTATTATGTATTTAGGTTGATGTTTTAAAAGTATTAAATATTAATAATATGTCAAAATAAACACATAAATATATTTTTTATAAAAGAAAAAATTAACGTGTCCTACTTTTTTAAAAGTTGACGTGTCATAAATATATTTGGTGAGGTTTAACAAAATAATATGAACTAATTGAACATAATTGAAATTAAGTCAAGACAAAATAAAAATTTTAAAACTATTGAGACGAAATTAAAACTAGATCCAATTCAAAGAGACCAAATTTGTACTTTCTAATTTTTTTTTTGAATAAAAATGGAACTTTAAATTTTTAAATTTCTCATCCAAACATGGTAGAATATCATCTTGATTGTTTTTTTCTTGTGAAAGAAAACTCTTGAATATTGGACAAAATTAAAAAGGTTTTCTTGGCCACACACACATCCAGTTAATGGTGTTACCATTTGAGGAAATGAGCCAAGGAATTAAAAAAATGGCAAAGGACAAAGGACAAAGGTTCTCTGCCTTCTGATTCTTTTTCAAAATTTCAGATTAAAAAAATGCACCAAAGTAATTATTTTTCTTCTAATGCTTGAAATTAAAAGGGATTAAGTGCATACCTAATAGAGTTTGATTTTTTTAATTAGAGAAAATTTTGTGAAAGGAAGTAAGCCAATTCAAACGTTGGAAATCGACGATGGCACAGTTCATACAATCGCTCATCATACTTTATTAGTTTCTCCAACTGCTCGTTCAACACTCCAGGTGGAAACGCAGCCAAATGCCTCCTAAAAATAACCATAAAAAAAAAATTAACTTTTAATTAATTTATCATTGTGGATATTTTATTGTTCATGTCATAAAAGATGTACGGCTACAAGCAAACCTGCATTTAGAAGCTTGGTGATCTTCAGTAAAATCTGATCCCTCAATCCATTTACTAGTACCGTGTGTCTCTAGATTAACATTGACTTCTTTGTAGAATTTTGGCGGATATAATAGCTACAAAAGTCAATATGAAAAAAGATTAATATTTTGAAAAGGATTCCAAACACAAGCTCCTTCGATAATTATTTTGAAAACAACAACTAATAAAAATTGGAGACTAAAAAGTTTTTTCAAAGGTTAATTTCCTTAACAAAACATACCAAACATTAGAAATTGAAGATGGAAATTATTATCCACACATTCCCAAGATCTTGAAATGAAGAAAGAACAAATGATCATTTGTTGTAGGAAAAATCAGATCATCTCTGTGAACAGAAAACACCCTAAACATATTCTAGTTGAATTTTAATCAAAAGAAGCTGAAAATTAACCTCAAGTTGGAGGGTTCCTTGTCTGTGATCTTCAGTAGAAGCTTGAATCCCAATGATGTTGGACCAATCAATTTCAATCTTGTGCTTTGTCGAAGGCCCTTCATTTACAATCTCCCACGATATATTCTCGGCCCCATAATCAAATCTCAACGCCAAATCACCTTCATTTTGGGGCACTGCCTGAAAAATGAAGCCAAAAACAAGCCTTAGCTTATAATACCACATACATAGAGAATGAGAGATACAAATTAAAATTAAAATTATTTACATGCCTGCCAGGAGCCAATGCGAAGGAAGAGGGCTGGAGCTGCACTAGAGATATTGGGAAGCTCAGAAGAAGAAGAGGCCTGTAACATGTTACACACAAATTAACATGGCATTGGCCTATTAAAACTTCGTTAAGAAAAAGAATAAATCAAGAAAAAGATCAAAACCCAAGATCCTTCCATGTAAGATATTGAACTGAAAAGTCAAAGAAAACCAAGAAGTTCCATAGAACCATGAAAATTTACATAAATTTTGACATTATTTCTCTCTCATGATGATTATTATTGCCAATGTAAGTTCAAAATCTGTCCTACCACACAATAATTGTATCTATCCATTCGATGTCCTCTCTCTCTAGAGAAATCAAAAGAGGTCCCAAAGATCCTTCTCTATGGAAGATATTCAAATGAAAAGTCATCAAAACATGAAAATTATTACAGTAACTTTAGTGTATAAATTTTTACATTTCTTTCTGTCATGACTCAAAATCTATCTACCCTTAGTAATTGAAGTACAAATTTCCCCTCTCTCTCAAGGGTTTTCCTTTTTCTTTCTTTTGAAATTAAAAGGTGTCCCAAAAAAAAAAAACAAGAAAAAACTAAAAACCCCAAGATGATCTTTCTGAGGCAGGAAAAGAAGCAGCTCCATGGAAATATAAAAGAAAACTCCATTAATGATGCCATACAAAACAAACTAAGTTGCAGAGAAATTTTGGAAAGGAATAAGATAATTACCTGTGATTCGCCATTCTCTGAAGTGATATCTGATTCCTCTTTCTTCTTATCCATTGATTAATTTCAACTGATCTTTTATTTCTTTCAGATATTTTCTTCACTCCTTAATCCCATTATTTGCTTCAATTCTTCCCCTTTTATAGACATTGGTGGTTGCCCCGCCTTGCTTAATTAATCATTTTTTTTTTCTTTGTTGATATTTTTGAAAGTTTAAATTATACTATATGCCCCGATGACATTTAGATTTTGTCCCTAATATTTTCAAAGTTTCAACTCCAACCCTGATGTTTTAATGTGTTTTTTTAACGAAATATTCATTAAGAAAAAGATTGGACATAAGATTGAAATTATTAAGATGTCAGGAAAAAAGTTGAAATCAAGGAGACTTAGTTTTGGATTGATAGGACTTATTTTTCCTTTTTTAGTATTGGGTGAAAGATTGGAAATCATTACTCTTGATCAAAAATAGTATTACTATGTTAAACTCAGATTTCAGATTGACAATTGACCTGACTATTCAAATAAGATAAAAGTTATCAAAACTATCTCTAAAATAAATATAGTAATTAATTTTGAATTTTAAAGAAGTCGAAAGCAATTTACGAAAAATCAAATTTGGATTTTCAAATTTCAGTTAAAATCAAAATTCAAAATTAAAATATATATATATATATATATATGCACCGAAAGTAATTTTCTAAAATTAAGAGTACTAAAAGAGATATCTAAAATAAAGAATGGGAATTGTGTAAATTTTATTTTAATTATAAATTTTGGAAAAATAGTATTTGATTTTCACAGAAAAGAAAAAACATTAACCTAGAATCATTATTGAGGCTAGGAAGAACCACTTAAAAATCCAACATTTAGGGCCTGTTAGGAATAATTTAAGAATCATAGTTATTTTAAGGTTTGGTTACACACTTTTATAGGTAATTTATTAATTAAAGGTGATTTTTAAATATTTTAAAAACTAATTTCTATTGGCAAAGCGCTGAGTAGTAATGGACATACTCCCCTCTCCAACATGTTGGATTTGATTAGGAATTCAATTAGGAATCGTCTCCCAATTGAATTGACAATGGACTGAAATCACTTGAGAATTGTTCGCCAAACATGTAATTTCAATTTTAAAATTAGTAAAAGTAATTCCAACAATAATAAAATCACTCTCAAACATGAAACTTAGCCATAAAAACTTGCGCTCATAGCCAAGCTGGTTTCTAACTAATTACATCCACAGTCCAAAATCAACCAAAATTAAATTGAATGAATTAACCAAACAAATTAAACCCGCAGCTCTTAATTAGTCTTCTTTTTCACTTTCTTGAGGAGGGGGTAACCAAACTCCACGTGGGTCTGTTGGCAAATTGGAGTAGTTATTCGAGACTCCATTGAAATATGTTGATCCATCCAACAAGTGGTCATTTGTTGGGTCGCAGTAATTATTTGAAGCTCCAATGGGATATGTTGGTCCACTCAACATGTGGCCATTTGAAACTTCATTAGGACAAGTGAGTCTATTATTCAACAAGTGGTCATTTGAAACCATATTGAAATTTGACAAATGGTCATTTGGAACCTGTGAATACTGTGGCATTGAAGATGAAGAAGAAGAAGAAGCCATTTGCAAATTGTTGGAGCTTCCAATCATTGGAATCATTTGTGTTCTATTCACAAAAAATTGTGAAGGGAAGTAGGCCAATTCAAAGGTCGGAAATCGGCTTTGGCTCAGGCCATACAATCGCTTGTCACAATTTATTAGTCTCTCAAACGACTCCTTCAGCACTCCGGGTGGAAAATTAATCAAATACCTCCTAAAAACAAACATAATTTCAAATTAATTCATCATCACTGACTCGTTCATGTCATAAAAAGTAAACAAAAAGCTGCAAATTAAATTCGAACCTGCATCTAGAAGCTTGGTCTTCTGTAAAATCTGATCCATCAATCCATTTATTGTGTGACCGTCGATCAATTTTGAGTTCTTGGTAGAACTTGGGTGGAAGTAATAGCTGCATAAAAATACGGAGGACCCGTGTTTACATGACAACGTCTAGAAAACTAATTTTTTTCACAAGTTAGTAAAATATTTGAAAAGAAAAAAAAGAATAAGTAATTAACTAACCTCAATTTTTAGGGTTCCGGATCCATTTTCTTTTAAAGTAGCTTTCATCCCCACAATATTTGACCATTCTATTTCAATCTTTTGCCTATACCCATTCCTCGAAACCTCCATAGCTAATTGCTTCATTATAAAAAAGAATTTTACCACCAATTCATCACCTTCTAATGTTGGCTCAAACTGTAAAAAATGACATGGAATCAATACACAATCGACACAAAGTTACCAAATTGTTTAAACAAAAACTGACTTTTAATTAATTTATTTTACCTTCCATTTGCCAATGTGAAGCATTTCAGGTATTAAAATAGAGACCTTCAACTTTTCTTTATCGACCTCTTTCGAAATATCTTTAGCCTTTTTTGACCTTGGAAGTTTCTTGCTTTGTTCTTTCATATTTCTTTTTCCGTCCCTGAAAATTTGAGATTCTCCAAAGCTTTTAAAACTCCAACTGCAAGAAGGAAAAAACCTATTAGTAGATTGGAATAGCCCTAACAAACCAATGTGTGTGTTTATTTAAGCACCAAGAACAAAAAATAAAAAAAAATGGAAAAAAAAGAAAAGATGTTTGTTATTTGGGCGGCGCTTGTAAGAATTAAATGTCACCCAAAAAAAAAAAAAGTTAATCATCAAACAATCGGAAAAAAAAAAGATCTGCGAAATTAAAAGCATACATAAATTCACTACCATAATTAGTCCAAGCCTATAATTAAACTAAATCAAATATTTTATCCACGCATCTGACTTAATTTTGAAGTATTTCGAGGGTTGAGTCACTTACTTTAATAACGAACCAAAAAATTATACCTTGGACAAAAAGAAATTTAAATTGAGAGAGAAGAGTGTACACGATTAAAAGCGAAGGAAAACTTTAGAGAGAATTTTTTTCTTCCTATTCGAGGATGAGCTTGTTTAGATTTTAAATGGTCGTATTTATAGACACATCATAAGAGTTTCCTATTCAAATTAGTAATCACATTTAATAGGTCTAGTATATTAAAATACACTTTAATTATTTTTTTGCCATTATCTCTATTCCTTTTCCTATAAGAAGTTTGAAGTTTACAAGTGAAATAAAATAATAAAAGAATTAGTCTTCAAATCCGTACCTTATATAAATAATTAAGAAATTTAAAATTTATGCATTGGCATATTAAAGTTTAATTTCAAAATTGTTCTTTTAAGTATCATACAGTTGACTTTCTTACTATTTTATTAAACCCAAGTAATGTGTAAACTTGATTTAAATGGTGATGATCTTTGTTTTCAAAGGGTAATTAAGGAGAGAGTTTTTCATGGACCTTAGATGGGCTTGGGCTATTTGATTTTAAGCCCAATACCATGTGATACAATTATTATCCAATTGGACCAATTTTATGAACTTATATATGTGGTGATTAGATAAGCCATAAAAATAAACATGGTATTATTTAATTAGTCAAATTTTAATCTAATTTTACTTTAATTTAATATGGAGATGTTTCTCAATTATAGGTCATTGCTATGTTTAATTTGTTATTCGCGAAAATTTATATTATGTAATCATTATTTCATATGTTTATCTTTTATGAAATGGATTCATTTGAATTCATTAAACAAAACGTTGTTTGTAATATAAATTTTAGATAAAAATCTAAATTATTTATTTTAAATAAAAAGAGTTTTTATATTTTTAATTAAAAATAATATAAATAAATAAGTTCTTTCAAATTTTTGAATTAGTTTACAAATGTTTATAACCTTTGTCCAGACTAGCTCCTATTAGTTCCTGAGTGTTAAAAAAACGAAAAAACTCGAACAACCAAACCATACCGTTTGGATTGTGTTGAAAATTAATTTGAATTAGATCAGAATCATTATTTTTTAACTCTGGTTGAGTTGGTTTGACTCCTGGATTTATTAGGTTGAATTAACCCAACCACTTAGCTCTATATAATATATAATGGTAAATTTATTATCAATTTAAAATTCACTTATATTTCACATTCATTTATATTTCTACCTCATAATAGTTTTAAACTTAAACTTAAATTGCATAGAT